CCCCCCCCCCCCCCAAAAAGCCTTACGTAATTTATGGACGGCCCCTCACCGCAAACTTCAACTATTTCCTAAACATCCTTTAACCTCGACGTATGTTATACGCGGCCTCCCTATGGAAAGGGTCTAATCAAGGGAAGTGACTACGAACACCGTTGGCTGAAGTCGAAAAAGCGGATCTTCATTAACGACTTCGCAAATCTCCGCTCATTATTCAGTTTTGAAAAAAGTCTATTGCTATAGTAAGGCTATAGTGCTTGATGTAACAGGTATCTTCCTACTTCGAATTTTTAGCAAAAAATCAAGGGACGCAAATACTAACTAAACGTCTTTTTGCTGAAAAGAATTTTGCGAAAATGAATAAAATGAAAAGGAATGAAGACACAAACTAATGTTTTTCCCATATCTTCCTTTGATTTCATTTATTTTCACTAAGTTCCTTACAGCATAAGTACGTCCAATTTTCTGATGGAAAGGTCGTTATGAATCACAATGTTAAATTTGGTCTCTTACCTGGTCACCACGCCGTTGACTATCAAACGAAGTGCAATTTGGTGCAGTGTGACGTTATATAGGACCGTCAACTTGCTTCTCAAGAACAAGGTGAACGAGAAATACACACTGCACCGATATGATGAGATCAATACCGTTAAAAAAAAATTCGTAGAGATTTGCAGAAATAACTCCCGCTGTGAATCAACGGCGATCCCCAACGGAACCGACCTTTCGTAAGACATGTTATCCGCTGATTCGGCGCTTGGACCGCGTTAAGCAGAAGGGAACCAAGCCACATCAGCTGTTGCCAAATTTAAGCGGGCAAATTAGGTTTTTACACGAAACCGGTCGTGCAGATGTTGGTGCAAATTTCATTGAATTGTTTGCATAGTACGAAGCAATTTCCTCAAACTGTTCGAAATAATCCGCACAAACGCTCTCTTGTAAAAAAATTAACCTGTCCACTTAAAGGCAAAAGCTGATATGGCTTCGTCCCTTTCTTCTTGATGCAATCCAATTGTCATTCGGTCGAGTGGAGTATTGCGCATTCCACCGCAGCCGGGGCATGGTAGTTGGATGTGAACATGCATGGCTTAAAAAAATGTGGAGGGTAAAACCGCGTTTTCCTCGAAAGGGCGCGCCTACGAGCGCTAGCGGCCCCGGAAAACTCGCGCAGATTTCAACGCTGCTACAGCTGTGACGCTTTTAACTTGCCCCCGTTTTCTTAGAATACGTCGTTTTTACGATAATGGAGATGTTGCATGTTTGAGGAATTTGCGATTTGACTGTTGATTCTCATGTAAAAGTTCGCGAGGAACACGATGGTGCCACTGGTTTTCTCTGAAATCAACTCCCAAGCTCAAAAAAGCTCTCAAGTTGAGGCCAAAATGGAGGGGATATCCGACGCTATCCTGAGAGTACACCTCTACATCTAGACGAACTCTCCATGCAAAGATAGAGAGCAAATACATTAGCAGGGATGCCGTGTTTTCAGTTTTAGAGTCCCCAAATAAAGTGGCTGCCCTGTCAATGTATTTGCTCCCTATCTTTGCATGGAGAGTTCGTCTTGATGAAGAGGTGGACTCTCAGGATAGCGAGGGATATCCCCTCCATTTTGGCCTCAATTTGAGAGCTTTTTTTGAGCTTGGGAGTTGATTTCAGAGAAAACTAGTGGCACCGTCGTATTTCTCGCGAACTTTTAACGAAGAATCAACAGTCAAATCGCAAATTCCTCACACATGCAACATCTCCATTGATAAATCGATTTTTCATGGCTATCAGAGCAAACAAATTTTACTACTAACATTTCATCATAAATTATGCTAAATACTTACGCAGTGGATTGCCAATCTACAAAATACAAAAAAAGGAACTCATAATCCAATTGTGTACCCTTCTTTTTATATTAATCGTTCAAGAAGTTATTGAATTTCGTTTCTCGTTTATCTCCATTTCCTCGTAATTGAGATTTTGTTGACTCTATGGCAAATTATTAATCAGCTATTGTCTGAGGTTTGTTCTTTTTTTATACTATTAATTCATTGACGAAAGGATTGGCCCCGGAGGCCTTTTTTCTCCTTATTCCTTTTTAAACATGCCGTAATTGGGAAAATACTTACAAACAATATTTCTTTCATAAAGAAATAAAAAACTTTAAAAATTATACTTTATGGCAATGCGCCACCATGAAACATGTGGTGTCTCGATTGCCGCTTTTTTCCCGCTTTATTTCTCTTTTTTTTATGTTCGAAAAGAATTCGGACTGTATTAACTCGCTCTAATTGTAAACTGCACCAAGTACAGCTAAGACTGCGGTGCTTCGGTGAGACTGCTTCCCTGGACAGTCTGTCGACTTCGACGTTGATTGTCCCCTCGGTGAACGGATACGCTTTTTTACACGAGAGCAATCAAGAGAGGAGCAACAAACGCAGAGGAAACTTTATTTCTAGGGAAACGTGGCCTAACTGACACCAGATTGGTCACGCGATCTGCAAGTATGTTATGTTTAAAAATAAATCACCATATTCACAAGGGTTTGGGGAACGTGTCATTTTCACCCTGCCCGAGCCGAGCCTGGATTAAAAAACTGGACCCGAAGACCGAGCCTGATTAGAAAAAACTGCTTTTTATAACATTTTAGCCAGTTTTCTTTTTTTATTCTCAAGCCAGCCGCGGAGTCTCGACATTATAAATCCAGAAATTAATGGAAACTTATCTAAAACCTTGTACACAAACCGATTACGGTGGCGACGCACGGGTTGTAAGACGGTATATAGGAATTTTTTAGTCAACGTGCGTTGAAAATCAGCATAAAGCTGAAAATTTCAATACAAAGGGGAAAAGCTCTCACACAAGCAAAATTTTCCATCAAAGGGATACGCTGTTTGGTGCATTCAGGAAGGCAACTGCAGTTGGGCCCCAACCCAACTGTAGTTGCAGTTGCCTAAGAGAGATATCGGACGAAAAACACAACGTATGACGTCATTCATCACAGTTGTGCACACCCCATTATCTTTCACCTTGATTTCAATAAATTTTGTGGCATCTCTGTTAAGTTATTCACAACATAAATGACAAATCCTTTGATTTTTAAATTTTTCAAAAATGGACAAGATTTTTACGACGTTTTGAACTCAAAGATGCATTCCTCTCGAAATTAAAGTTTTCACAAGAGGTATCTCTACTGACAAATATCTCATACTTCTTCTTTTTACTCAAATATGCAAAAAGATAATCGATGGATCTATAGACAAAACGGCTCATAAAATCGCAGCAATTATGTTGGTTGTTTTTCCTGTGCGGTGTTGAAGTCTCTAAGCACATGCCAGGATTTTAAATCGGCTCCTCTCGGTATTACAATGGAAAAATTTGTCCTTTACAGATTATGACGCAACCTGCGAGAATGATTAACCTCGCATCGGTTTATTTTGCGGTTCACAGAATCGATGCGCTGATACCAAATCCGTATAGAGAGAAAAAAAGGTCTTGCGGCCGTATCAATTTTGGCGGTGACGTAATAAACAAAGCAGACACCCCCAAGGAGAAGAAAAATAACTGCGGCAAATTTCTTTGCCGTTGACAAATTCATCTTTTAGCGTGGAAATGTAGTTCCGGCGCGAAATTATGATGATAACGCACTAAAATTCCGTCTAAATATCTTGATTTTAAGCTGATACACGGCAGTTCGCCGCAAATCGCAGTCCTGCGCAAATGCCGCATATCAGCTTAAAATCAAGATGATTCTTCAAAATTAATTTCAAATTCAACGTTGATGAATCAATATTTTCTCCCAAATTTAGCAAAAAGTACCAATTGATACAAATAGCAAAGACAAGAAAATACAAATAAGTGTCCAACATTGCAGTTATTCGGCACGCGCATCATATTTGTCTTCTTGTTTTCTGCTGGTTTAATGGCATATGTTCCGTTAGAAACCCACAGTCAATTCTAGTTCCTATTCATTGTTTTCAAATAGCAGTGGATGGAGACATCCATGCGATGGCTATTCAAGTTTTCAGGGACTATGTTTTTGCGGAGATTAGACTTGTGACGAATGAACATACGAATTTGAATCGGCCACCGCTCCTTTTCTCCATGCCCTAAATCAAAGTTTCTCGTTCTCTAACCCTTCGATACCGAGGACTTTTCTTTAGCGTAAAATTCTGAGTCTGGTCAAATTGACCCGCATTTGACTACATTAAATTTGATAGTTTTTGAAGTAATATCTATGTTATTTACATGTTTTTGAAGGTAAAAAATACTTTTTTTTGACATTTTCACCTTTTTGGTAACATATTGGCGCTCTCTCGCCCCCCCCCCCCCCCCCATTCGCCACATGTAATTCCCCTAGCAGAGATAGTCGTGTAAATTTAACTCGTCTTGGGATTTCCAAGGGAAGTCGTAAAAAATTCCCTGAAACTACATATCCCTTGCCAAAATACCAATATTTAGACTTGCGTCCTGGTGGGCGCTTGAGAGACCTCTAAACATTTCCCTCTCAAAATGATCGTTGATTTGGACACATCATATCGTATTTCAAGCAAGCTTAACCTAAAATTGTCTCAAATTTCAAATAAAAGAGACACCTCATCGCGCGTCGATGATACCGTAGAGATACAACTATCCGTGATTAAGGGATTTCCGTGTTGCATCTGCAAAATTGAATAAGGCGAGATGACGCGAGGCGTGAACTGACAATGATCAGCTCTACGCTGCCAATGAGGTGTCGCTTGGATTCGGAAAAAAGGTAACAAACTTACCCTGATTACGTGTTTTCTATCCTCGATTGTGTTGCTCATGTAGCCCTTGAAGCATCACCACACATACGACAACAACCGTCACAACATGGACATATAGAGCAAAGGAAAAGACGCTCGTTAATTACGGGGCAGAGATGTAACTATTCGTGCATGGTGGATGCCCGATTGTCCGTATTGCATCTGCAAAAAAAGAAGGCGCGATGGTGCGAGGCGTAAACTCGCAATTCTCCTTCCATATGATGTAAATTAAGTGTCATCCAGATTCGGGGAGAGAAGTTCAAGAAACGAAGCCCGATTATGCTTTTCCTATCTGACGCTGTGTTGGCACTTGGCACAATTTTGCCGTATTTTCTTTTCAATTTGTTGGCTGGCTCTTTTTTAGAATATATTTGTAGACTTTCATCTAAAACTTTTATGTATCCCCACCGCCCAATGCAACCCGCGGGACCCGTGTTTTTAGCAAGCCTCGATTCAATTCGTCCCGGCTTGAGCATCAACGTGTAATAGACCGGACGTAATAGTGTGAAGCCTTTTTTCCATGGATGAAAATTAAAAATGGGACGTCCGCTTTTTACAGGGGCTGATGAATAAAAATATACCTAAAATTTGGAAATATAGGACAGTTGCATTTTTCATCTCATTTTGCACTCCACTTAAACTTAATTGTTTTGAAATTACCACGAATATTCATTATAAATGTCAATGCAAGGCATATAAAAATGTAATTTTCCTCTGTTGCGAGGAGGGAAGTCTGTTTTTATGTCTCTTTTTATTGATATTTTTAGCCGACTTCCTTCTTTAATGCAAAAAGCAATTTAAAAATTCCAATTATCCACGGAAATAATCAAATCAATTTTAAAAAAGTGTATAGTAAAGAATCCTACACGGCAGTAAAAATGACAGTTCTTTCGTGACAATTGATGTTTATCATGACACTATTTTGCTGTAGATATTACGATCTGTTATAAATTATCGATTCTGTGCGAGGCAATCCACACGCCCTTGAGTATAAATTGTTTTATATAACTTTACATGGATAGAAACAAAGTTACAAACATTTAAGAACCCCTATTGATTGCGAGCATAATAAATCGACGGTGCCAGTCCGCGACCACCTATCTCGGTTTGCGATGTGGCAGACTTCCTGTCATTTTTTAAATGGAAAACTACTCAATGGCAATTCCTAAAAACTGCCGTGATTTTTCTCCCCTGAACGAAGAAAATTCTGTGAAAATTTCAAGGAATGATCCTTTAAAAAAATAAAATAAGAGCGAAGGTTTTCAAACACCGCAAACGAGACACGAGGTTGCGGACTTCCACCGTCAAAATAGTGCTCCTTCATCACTTCCTTGTGAAAATAAAAAAAAAAAAAAAAAAAAAAAAAAAAAAAAAAAATAGAAAATCGCCGTATGTATCAGATGAATGAATTCAGACTAATCATATTATTAGGAACAACATTTATTGGCAGTTTTTACTTAATATATACATCATACAGATACGCACACCTTTACGGTTTTTCAAATATCACTTTTAAGAAACCGCTTTGTTAGACTTTGTTCGAACTTTGTTAGAATGAACGTCTGTGTGAGACAGGAGTGAGATCAGTCTTCTGGGAAAATAACTCCTTGCAAAGTTGATTATGCCTATGGTTTACGCCAGAAAGAATTCAGGGCCAATCCAATTGCCACATGATGGGAAGGTTTCTGGAACATCCGGGAAATCATCCCGTTGACCTACTTTCAAGACAACCGCCATGCCTCTCGACCATAGCTGAGATCTTCCTTCGTGAAAAAACCAGTATCCTGAAACAAAGTCAGATATTCTGTTCACACTAGATCCAATATAAGACATGTTCAGAAAGATGAGGTCCAAACAATCATTGCGTTATCCTAAAGTTCAGACAGAAAGGTGGAATCTAGATAAATAAAATTGAGGTGTTACTGACACTTCTCAGAGGAGTGTTTTCCGAAAAGTTTTGGCACAAAAACGTGACAAAAATCGAACGACCTAAAATTCTGGCAGTTCAAAGTTTGCGGTTTAAAAAATGGATTTTTTTTTAAAACTTGTTTACTTTCCCGTCGACCATGCTCGAGCTTAGAAGAGTCCAGTAATCATAATCCATTTATATCGTCGATTTCTAGATGCAAGAACGTATAGCTCCATTCGGAAATTACAAAATTGACAGAAAAATTTACTTTTCTCACAAGAATAAAATCGAGCGATTTCTGACCAAAACTTTGCTATTTTCTCCGTGTGATCAGGAAAAAAAATCAGTGATGCTTCCAGTTAGAAATGACCGACAGCTTTCCTGTAAAAACAGATACAAAGAGTAAAATTTTGCGACGTCAACATATCGTTACGTTGCGTCGTTACGTTTTTCTGTCTGATCAAAGGTGAATAACGCCTTTAATTAATGTAACAGAGAACTTAGAGAAGAAAGCTTAGGAGCTTCCTTCTTAGGACACGGAGTGTGTTTTTGAGCTTCCTCAATCTAAATTCCGATTATTTCATTCAACCTGACAAAAAATTGAAACTCCGGAAACAGTCACATTTTGACGGTGAAACCGCTAAACCCTGTATCTCGTTTCCGGTGTATTAAAATCTCCCCTCCCACTTGTTGAAATTTTCACAGAATTTTTTTTTTTTTTTTTACAGAGAAAAAGAATTACAAAAGTTTTAGAGAATTGGCGTTGAATAGTTTTTAATTTATGAAATGAAGTATGTCAGAAAGTCTGTGGCGCCGCAAACCGAGTATGTGCGGTTTGGAAGTTTCACCGTTGATCACAGTGACGTGGCCAGGCCCGCCACATCCCATCTTGGGCCCTGGTACCAGTTTTAAGGTCCGGGCCCCAAACACGGAGGGGGAGGGGGCGGGTCCGAGGGGCATCCCCCGAGAAATTTTAGAATTTATACGACTAATCGGACGCATTTTGAATCTTCCATAAAGAATTGTTCTATCAATTTCTGCGGAATAATTATGTTTTTTTTTTCTACTTTCAGCACAAAATACTTGTGCATCGTTGCATTCAAAAGATCTGGGAAATTTTTATTTTTTTTTCGGGGGGGGGGGCATATGATACTATTTTCAGTTCTATGAGGGCCAGGCCCCCCTGGACTCCCCCTTCGTTTGTCTATGGCAAGGGAGTTGAGCCATGAGCCATAGAAGTCGAGGATGCCAGACTGGAGATGCCTCCATGCACGCTGAGCTTGTCGATTTCCTCTGAAATTTTTGCAGTGGTGAATGCATAGCTGAAGTGCGCTTCAGCTAGAATTGTATAAACAAATGAGTGGTTTTTCTACGAGGATTAAAAATAAACAAGTGGCACGGAATATAACAAAAGAATATGAAATATGCAAAACGATTATTCCGATAACGGAACTTGGCTGATTTGAAAACGCCTTCAAATGCGGCGTGATACCTCACGCATTCCGGAGAGTTCAAATAGTTGTATCATTGCGCCGTAAGAATGCGACGGAAGATTTAAATGGAGATAGCCTCCATGCACGCTGGGCTTGTCGATTTCCTCTGAAATTTTTGCAGTGGTGAATGCATAGCTGAAGTGCGCTTCAGCTAGAATTGTATAAACAAATGAGTAGTTTTTCTACGAGGATTAAAAATAAACAAGTGGCACGGAATATAACAAAAGAATACGAAATATGCAAAACGATTATTCCGATTACGGAACTTGGCTGATTTGAAAACGCCTTCAAATACGGCGTGATACCTCACGCATTTCGGAGAGTTCAATTAGTTGTATCATTGCGCCGTAAGAATGAGACGGAAGATTTAAATGGAAAAAGCCTTCATGCAGGCTCGCCACATTCCATCTCGAGCCCTGGTACCAGTTTTAAGGTCCGGGCCCCAAACACGGAGGGGGGGGGGTCCGAGGGGCATCCTCCGAGAAATTTTAGAATTTATACGACTAAGCGGACGCATTTTGAAGCTTCCATAAAGAATTTTTCCATCAATTTCTGCGGAATAATTATGTTTTTTTTTATACTTTCAGCACAAAATACTTGTGCATCGTTGCATTCAAAAGATCTGGGAAATTTTTATTTTTTTTTCGGGGGGGGGGGCATATGATACTATTTTCAGTTCTAAGGGGGCCAGGCCCCCCTGGACTCCCCCTTCGTTTGTCTATGGCAAGGGAGTTGAGCCATGAGCCATTGAAGTCGAGGATGCCCAGACTGGAGACTCTTAGCATCTGACGACGGAAGAAAATGAAACGCAGTTACTAAAAATATCCCTCCGTACTGAAAATCTTGAAAATAGATAGAAATTCTCCAAGAAGTATACTTCTTTGAAAATTAAAGAAGAATTCTACAGTGCCCCAACGTGTTTCTGAAAATCTATTCACCTGTTGCGAAATTGTTAGGGTAAATTTTTCACTTTTTCTTACGAAACAAGGGTTGCATGTGAATTCGTAGTGGTTTTTCACGGGTAACACGGGACCCGGTACCAGGGACCCTCCCCTTGTGGCGGGCCTGGACGTGGCGTGAATGATGGATTATCGATATTCCTCCATTTGAAGCTATTATTAAGGTGTTCGCTGCGAACACCCTGTTTATCGATCCTTTTCCATAGGTTTGAATGACAGATCTCTTGATATGTCGCATAGCACGCAACGGCACTGCCGTTGATACACTTCTACATTTGATGAACCCAGTTGAATCCATTTGGGTGATACATAATTGAGAGAGAGATTTACCTGGATTACTGGCGATGAACCTCAGTATGGTGAAGCTTTTTGGGGGAATGCTGATTGTATCTTTCAGCACAGAATTCGTAATGTTCGGATTGGTTGATCTGAGGTGGCTCTCGGATAAATTAGCAAATTCCGCTAGCTCACGACGTTGAATCAGGTAAAAATGTTGACCGTGTAGATGGAAAAAGAAGTTTGGATTGGATTTTTCACTGCTGAGATGATTTGCTCCTAGAAAAGCAACATTTACCAAATTAGTCTAATCGACTTGTTGTTGATTGTCGATTTCCTCCTCTATTGAACATTTACTTTTCTGTTCTCTCTGTAAATCTGGACTCTTAAGAATATCAGTGAGTAAGGAAAAACTAAAATTCGTAACGATAATGCACGGATCAGAAAACTTCGTGCGAGGGACCCGCAGTTGAGGTCATATGGATCTCTGAAGTTTTCGGATCACGTATATCTAAAAACTTGAGGTCCAGCTGCCGAAGTTCGGGTCAGACATCTGAAGTACTTCGATGTATACCGAAGGATTTGGGTCACACATCTGAAGTACTCCGTTTTCGGATGCGTGATCAAAAAACTTCAGGGATCCATATGACCCCAACTTCGGGTCCCATACACGACATTTTTTTTCTCCGTGTAGATTCATCATGCCCGGCTAAAGAATAATTGGTAATATAATATACGTGATATAATATATGAGTTTGAATTTTACGAGTATACTTTTAAAACTACAATCAATTTGATCCGTCCTTGATCTTTCGCTTAAGTTGATCATGCTTTGGACGTGAAAATAGTGAAAGAGTTATGGTTTCTCAGAACAAGGAAACGCCTCTCACTTTCACAGAAGATTGATTAATTTTCGAGCATCCAATTGTTCCTATTTTAGCAATACGCCAGGATTTCTGAATGAAACCGGACGACCTTCACCTATAGCCACCAGTTTTATACATAAGCACTGACTTCTAATTGAAAGCGCCTCTAGTGCCTCTTTATGATGCAACATACACATACACCCATAAACAACGCGTAAAATGAACCAAAAATATTTGTATTATTCTTTTTCCCGAACGGTGATTTTCCGTCATTTTTCAGGTGCAGTGTAAGCGAAATAAAAAAATTCACTTAAAGAAGAAGGCGTAAAAAAACGCGCTTTTTCAAAATTGTCATACAAATGTTTGGATTAGTTTGTGCGTTGCGATTTTGACATTTTTTATCATCATTGTAAACCCTCTGAGCCCTTAAATTTTCATTATTGGCCACCGGTTGCTCGACCTTTATATTTTGGCCGATTGCCATGATTTCGCCGGCTGTTGATGAGTGCTAGTCTCTAGGGGAGCCAATTTTATGCAGATTTTGGAAATATTGTAGTGGTACGGCTAAAACCTTGGGGTTTTACCGTTCCACTAAGAGGAAATATACTTGTTCGTGCGTTATCACGGAGTTTTCACGAGCAAGGTGGGTCAAGCGTTTCAGACGGCGAGGTCATTTTGAGACGTGTTTGTTTTGAGCCGCGTCCGAAAGTTCCGGGACGAACCGCGGTCGCGGAAAAGCGGAGCTTTCGCGCGCTGCTTAAAAGAAGCATGGAAGCTTTGGCTCGGGGTCAGTCTTGAGTCTTCACGCGAAAGTTGGCCCGGTCAGCCCCTGTCAGAGCAGCGAGAGCGTTCCCGCGCAAATCGGGTTTTCATTGGTATAGTGTTGTTTGTAAAAATAGAGGTTTCCACACCGAAAGTGGTCTAGTTGTTTTAGTTCCTTAGTTTTAGTATCCCCCCGCACTGCAATATCAGCCAGATTTTTTTATATTACGTGATAAAGTTGTGAGATCTTCCTTTTAGTAACACAATGTAAACTTTCATTTATTGTCACAATTATTAGTTTCTAAAGATCTACTAAGCCGATTTTCATGATTTTTGCGGCTATTGATAGTGCATAGTCCTCAGACGAGCCTGCTCTATTAGATTAACTTACAGAGGCCTCTTTGGAGGTGCCTCTGCGAAGTGCTCTCTGAGGGTTGTGTGGCGCAGCGGCCATGCAGGGTGCGTAGCCACCCACTTATTGTAACATAATAGGAAGTAGCGGAAAGCATATGTTAATAATATGGGGAGTATAGGACACATAGTACCACAGGCTTTCAGTTAATTCCTTTTGGTTGGTTTCTTTTTCTGTTAAAAAACTGCAAACCCGTAAAAAGTAGAGACGTACGGTTAGGATCAGTCTTGGATCTTTTAAATAACAACCAATATGCCATAGCTGACACTTTAAAGTCGATATCGGCGGATGCTGGAAACGAAAAAAAGAGTGCAATACTGCCGTCCAAAGTAAAGTCGCCATAGTTCCATTCAACATATTTTTTTCTCTGGAAAATGCTGTTTTACCAGAAAACCAAAAAATATTCATCCTTTATTTGTCTGAATCAACTCCGGCATACACCGTAAGGAACTCAAAATGAGAAAAATAAAGCCCTGTAGCCATTAGGTTTCCTTGTAATAGAGCAGTATGTTTTGGAGAAATGTTTGAAAAATACAAAATTTGGAATTGAGGTAGGGCGTTTTTGCTGTGGAGGGCAGAATAAGTCGGCAAGAAAATACAATGCGCGAGCATTTCAACTCTCCAGGCATGCATTTTGCATACATCATCATTTGAAGGAGTTTTGTCCGTCAGTATACTCTACCTGGATTCAATATGATAATCTGGACCGAGGCCATCAGAGGAATGGAGATAATATGGGTGCATCCGCAGAAATTAGAAATTTCCTCGGAGACACAAGTTGCTGGCATTTTTTGGTCATTGCAGTCCGGATTCTCATCAAGGGAGTCGTCACTTGGTCTGAGAAGCAATGGCGAGGAAGGAAATGTGAATGTGATTCCGTTTAAGGACCTGCCCTGTCGTAAATCAAGCTCATCGAACTCTGTGAAATAAACGAATGAATAATAAAGTAAAAGAGAGTATCCTCATACACCTGGATCCCTTTTTATCTGATATGGTCACTCTGAGCCACATATTTAATATTAGCATTTGGCAAATTATTTTCTGCTTAAAATGTGTTTGATTTGATGTTCATGGTAAAACGACTTTAATGGGAAGGGAAAAATCGTATACTCATCTGAAACTCAGTTTAGGCAAAATTAATACATTGAACTTTCATTTGGGGAGAAAGTAGAGGCCGGAGCACACTTTGCGATCATTACATATATTTATTTACATGTTGTTAACATCTTCGCTCTTACTTCATCTTTTAAAACGAGTGAATGCTTATTAATTCAAGGCCGGATTTAGGGGGGAGCCACACAGGCCGCGGCCCATGGCGGCAAATTTTGCAATGTTTTTAAACGTGGATATAAAGAAAATCGGATTCCAAAAAAAAAAAAAAAAAAAAAAAAAAAAAAAAAAAAATTACAAACGAGAGAAAATGAGACAAAATCTCTCATTTCTTGAGAGTATATTAATTTCTAATTTTGTCGTCTTTCAGTGAAACTAGAGACATCACCTTCAGTTAGTCAAGTGGAGAGAGAAACCAAACACGCAATTTGGCCTGGAGCGGCGCGGTGCGGCGCAGAGAGCAATGATGACTTGGACGTGAGATGAAAAGGAAAAGCCCTCGGCGCGGCGGCGCGGTGGTCGGCAGGTAACACATATTAGCGCCTGCAAGACTGGATGAATACTTCACGCATTGCGTCAAACACAGTGCGGTCAGCGCGGCGCCTTGGCGGCGGAAGTTAAAATTATTAAATCACATTTACGTTTGTTCTTTCCTAATTTTTTCGTTCATTTCCTATAACTGGAGGCCTTGTCCACACAGAGATAGGTTTACGGAACTTGAATTTCGCGCAGTGTCTTATGCACCCCTGCCCCTCCAGCACGTTTACTTGATGGTTTTTTTTTTGATGTTTTAAAACGAATGAGAAGGAGGTGGCAAGTAGGTAAATCTGGCCATGTACTAATTTTTAATAATTTTGTATGAAATTACTCGTGCGCTTTGCCCCCTGACCTCTACGCGGCCCAGCCCCCGGGGCGCTGCGCGGCCAGAGAAATCGTCGAAATCACCCGTTGGCAGTTAATGAGCAAATAATTTTAATTGAATAAGAAAACGGTGTTTCAAAGAAAAATTTCCTGCCAAACAATATTCTTAACGACTTTCTCCTTACTCTGAATTTTGATTCCTTCTTTGGAATTCGACCTTTGGACCGTCTTACCCTCCTTCCTCATCCTGCCCATCGGGCGTCTTAAAAATGATTTTATTACATAGAGAGGATATTTTTATAATAAACGGCCAAAACAAACATTATTGAAAATGTCGCGTACATTACAAAGCATTTAATTTTTCTTACTGTGAAATAAAATGTGTAGTTAAGAAAGTCCCAAACATAATTTTTTATTTATTTATTTATTTTTATTTTACCCTTGTAATACTTTAAACACTATGCATACCGAAAGTCTGATCTCCGGAGTAGTTCCGTTCTTGCAGTTCAAAGGTCAAACTGACGTCAGTTTTTCCTCCACTCAATTTATCGGGCAATTTTTCTAGAGACTTTAAATTCGACAAACAATGTGTGACATGACCACCACAACCAGTATCTTGCACTGTTGTCAATACCTGAAAAATTCATGATAAAATTAATTGTGACGTATTTATAACTACTATAGACAAAAATAAAAAAAAAAAATAAATAAAAAAAAATGGATGACCAACGCACAGTAACGGAAATGTTAAAAGGCCGAAGCATCTCGCGGTCCCAACAACCTCATTCTCAACCGGATATAATAAAGGAAAACATTTTTAATGATAACGCTTAACAATATACAGCATTTACACATCTGCATTTTTAACGTTTGTTCACCTTTCTTCCTCTTAAATGTGAGACCGCTTTGTTTTCATTGTTCTCCGGGAACAAGCTCCTCGTTACTCTTCTGAAAGGGCGTATCTCTATTTCCGCATATGCCCTAGAAAGCATGGATTTATTATGTAAAACAGAGCTCACATGGAAATTAGGATACCCCCTTACGTCAAGAGCCGAGGACTTTTGAAACAAAACTTTCAAAGGAGTACGAAAATGCACTTAAATTGAAATTTTGAGCGACTTCTACTGCAATAAAAGCCAAAATAAGAGCGTTGTAGCTTAGCTCAATTTTTTCCCCTCCTATTTATGAAATAAAATGTGTGTGAGAATTTTTTTTTGAGGCGACCTCATAAATTTTTAACTTTATGTACCTAGCGTCCTAATGTGAGCTTCCAGCGATATGACACAGTCATACATGATATTTTTCCTTAAGCTTAAAGTGAAAGCATGCAATCTTTGGTACAGCAATTAATAACTCAAGTCGAAATTCAAGATTGCTAATCATGACATAACTAAGAATTTTTTTAGTTGACAAAAGTGCTCACCATAGCTTGGTGTTAAGCTGAGCGGCATTTTTAGATGTCAGCTTGGAGGTAAAAAATTATTATAACTAGAGTGAATTATTATATTTTTTAGAATATGAACAGCGGCAATTATAAGAATTATACACATGTTTTATTCAAACTGATGTAGAAACAATAATTGCTTACTCTTTAGTGGTTCACATAACTTTGTTTGAATAATAACGCATAATTTTCCTCAATGGACGTGCAATTTAAATATGATTTTGATTTTGTTATACAATTTTGAAGATTTGAAATTTGACGATTTCTTTGGATTGATGCTGGGTTGGACGTAGGTAACTAAGGGCAGTATCGTCTCAGAACTTTTGATTCATTTTCTCAAAATCACAATTTCACGTTCCCAAACTTTAAGATGCTCTGAAAGATTGGATTTTTGAGTGGTTCTTGGTGCGACGAATGATGTAGAACTTCTCATTCTAAAGTGCATCCAGGCCGATTATTGAATTTGATAGACAAAACCACAGACAAAGAATACAAAGGGGATATGGAGGGATTCTATTCGTGGAAGCAGGTGGTTGCAACTGACAAAGTAGGTAGGTATAAGACTAACTAACGGCAGCCGACAACAGACACTATAATTTGTCCATCCCTACCCCTTAGTCTATAAAAACCACCCGTTTCAACCATTGGGATCACCCCATACGCCATATGTCTTTTTTGTCCATAGTTTTGACTATATCGCAACTTCAATATTTAGTCCACTGTGGCATAGTTATCTAATTTGGATGAATTTTCCATCACTTTTCAGAATGGAATTACGACGTGTTTTCCCATTCAAGGATGGTATGGTACTCTTACCGTGCTTTGAGATGCCTTCGTTATAATTTTTGATGAGGGATGAGAGCTGTTGTACATGAGTATCGCAAAGTTCTCCACGTTCAAATCCGAACACCAGTCAGAAGTTTTAAACCGAATCGTATACCTGTTGATGGCTTGATCAGCACTCAGTACAAAATCAATCCGTTCTCCTTAAAAAAGAAACGAGAAGAAATAAAATCAATCAGAGACCGACCAGTCTTACGAACGACACTGAGCATGTGGTTGAGTCGTCAAGATCTGAAGTTCTGAATTAATGTGTAACAATATTATCCATTAAAAAGTCATATTTTTTCTTTCTAGTTGTCATTATGGGTGGATAAAATCTGTTATATCTGATATATTTAAAATGTTTAAATCCTAATTGAGTATCAGGGTCAAATTTGCGGAAGAATTTGGGGGTAAAGTCCCTGTCGGGGATTTTTTTTTTTTTAGGGAGGGGGGCGAATAATATATGCGCGGCGGCATTTTTCGAATATGATGGCCTTTTTTTCTTTTCAATCGCATTGAGTCGCGCCGCGAAGTGAAATTGCACAAAACTGGAAAGCAGAAACAAATGGAAAAATCCATCATCTTCAAAGTCTTAGAGAGCGACATATTTTTGCTAGCCCTGAGTGGCAAATTGGCAACATTGTTTTTTCTCAATTTAAATCTATGGAACTTTATCGATTCCCGGAGGGGCCAGATGCTCCGACAAGAATCGATTATTTAACATAGGTTTAAATAGAGAAAATCCGGTGTTGCCAAATTGCTGGATCCGCGGGTATGAAAAAATCAACGCAGTTTTTTCATCACATTTTTGAAATCACGGAGGAAGCAGTTGTCATCTTCCTCCAAGTTCTGAAATTCATAGAGTGCATAGAGTCGTAATGTTAAATGGGAGAGCTGGCGCCATGTTCTGCACGACGAGTTCCGAGCCCGGTGTGCGCCGAATTCGGATCACTTTTTCGATCGGATGGCCGGGTACTGTGTCGTAAACAATCGATCATGTATCGAAAAAGTGACCCGGCGTCACACAGGAATTTCGGAATTCGGGACCTGGAAAATACTTAAAAGTGGCGCCCACTTACATTACGACTCTATGTACTGTATGCTGAAGGTGAATTTGTGATCCGCACCTGGCACCAGATGAATGGAATCCACTTTCTTCGGTTCTGTAGGTTGTCCATCCAGGGCCAAGATCAGGAGGCTATGCGATGAAATTTGTGCTGACACAGGGCACCCTGAGTGACTTGTGGTGTATGCTACTCGGAATCGATAACGTTTTCCTTTGGTAACGTTGTACGTCTGCAGCGGGAAAAAGTTGCCTTCCTAGCACAGTTAAGTTTTGCATAAAAAGTAAAGACGTGATGGTTTCGAGGAATATCTGTTTATATGACAAGTAAATTATTGACAAAAATGGTGTAGATAATTTATAAATTTGAATAAAATTTACTGATAACGGACTGCGGACTCACTGAAGAAAGTAAATCGCTAAAATAGCAAGCTACATGGGATAAAGTAGCGGTGCCTTGCTGAAAAACACTGGGATACCTGACAAATTGCTAAAATAGCAAATAAATTATTCTTATTTCAGCATTTCAACGTTTGTTAAGTTAGTAGCGGAATTTGCTAAAAATGAACTCTCATAATATTATTTTAATTGTTTGAATTAAATTATTTGAATTTTTATTTACATTTGAATCATCTGCAAACAACGTCCGCCATATTTCTTGTTGATATAAAGCGCTTTACCGTGCGCTTAAGTTGGCTGATCCAATCAAATATTTAGATATTTTCAGTATGGGCTCTAGTAGCCATGAACTTTCTCCATAAGGGACTCCTGGATTCAAAAGCAGAATACAAACCTTTCCGGCGCTCATTCCATTGATGAGGAGGGTTGATTGGCCACTTCGCGAGGTCCACTCACTCAAATATATGAGATGCTCATGATTATCCTCATCGTAAAGGGTCCTGTGAGGTTCCAACTTCGCTGACCGGCGGACGATCAGTGCTCCAAAAAGGTCGTCCATCTCGGTGTCACCTAAATCAAGTAAGATTATGGTCATTTATAAGCATCCATTAAATACATAACTGGACGTGTTTCTGCCAAACGAAACTATGTGCATTATGACGTAAGCCCTATTATGCATATATTCTTATGGATTTCAGGGTTCATGTCTCAATGCACGTAGTTCGTTTGACAGAAATACGTCCAACTAAGAACGTAACTAAGAGCGCAGGGAGGAAAAATCAGGGAAGTTTTCAAGCAATGACGTCGAACGTTTCACCAAAAAAAAAGTGAAGTTGATTTAACATTCCAGATGTAAAAAAAAAGTGTGCGAAAACTCACAAAACGCTGAATTAACCGCTACAGCAGTTACGTTAGCAATGTCAAGATGTAAAAGTAACTGCTAACCCTGTTTTTACATCCAGAATGTTAAATCAACCTCGCTTTTTTCGATTTTCTCTATTTAAAAACTAAATTATCACAGAAAGTCTGCAACATCGCAAATCAAGATGCAGAGAGAAATGATGACGAGGACGTGAGATGAAAAGGAAAAGCCCTCGGCGCGGCGCGGTGCGGCGCGGTGGTCGGCATGTAACACATATTAGCGCCTACAAGACTGCATGAATACTTCACGCATTGCGTGAAACACAGTGCATTCAGTAGCGGTCGGCCTGAACTGCATAGCACCTACAAGACTGTAGCAATATTTCACGCATTACGCCAAACACATTGCGGTCAGCGCGAAGTTAAAATTATTAAACCACATTTATGTTTGTTCTTGTATAATTTTTTCTTTCATTTCCAAATGAAGGCCTTGTCCACACAGAGATAAGTTTATGGAACTTAACTTTCGCGCAAAGTTCCGTGAACTTTTGCTAGTAGTGTTGACAAGGCTCTCGCAAAAACTTGTCCAACACGAGTAAACGTATCCTATGCACCCCTCCCCCTCCGGCACATTCACTTGATGGTTTTATTGATGTTTCAAAAAGAATGAGAAGGGGGCGGCAAAATACAGGCGGCCCATGGACGGCAAGCAGGTAAATCCGGCCCTGTGCGGACTCACAATGTGGTCAATTTTCTCGTGGACGGTGACTTGTGGGTAAAATTTGTACCTGTCATGGCCTGCCAAAAGTGGGTCCCAGGCTGGGAGGCTCGTAACTTGTACTGAAAAGTGGTATGCGGGGACACCGGGCATTGGGTCACCATGGGGACGCCATCCATTGCTGGGGTCTCCTGCAGGGGCTGGCCACGCCAGTGCAGGGTCACACTGTGCCCTACGAGTCGGTTCACCACCTCCACGACCAGGATGTCGTTCTCGCATACCTGCAGCGAGGTCATATCAAAATCATAAATTCATGGAAGAGGGAGAGTACTGAATCACGACAGGCATAAAAATCTTTGCAACCACTGAATATGAAATCTTTCTGCCAGCTTGTGACACTTCGAGAGCTTAAGGTGAACCTATAGCAAAAGTAAGAAAATATAGAGGTATCAAACTTTCTTTAAATTCAGTAGAGTCTGGATTATCCGCTAATTATTATTATGGAGTAAGATACAATTTTGAGGGGTCAATCAATTCAAATCTGAGAAGGAGTCCTTAAACGCAAGGAAAAGATTGCAGCCCAGAAACGTCACAATTCTGGGCCGCAAACTTCTGTAACAAATTTCCTCCAGAAATGACAACCCCTGATATTTTAGATGCTGCCCCTACAAGGGAATCTCCTTATTACATTCACTGTAAAATATGATAAAAAAACAGCAACCCATGGGACTTTCATTATTTATCTATGTTTAATATTCCATAATGAGTATATGGGAGCGTCATGCGGACTCGATTGAGAAGAGTGCAGGGTATGCAATTCTTAAATTATTTTTGTTTACATGTAACATTGGGGAACTTACGTGCAAGCTGGGACCAGGAAACAGTCTGTTGACTGTGAAGATGCGTCTGTCCGATCCATCGCCGATGAAACAATATTTCTTTCCTGCGCAGTCAGAGGCATTCTTCCAGCAATGGTCACACGATTTTCTAAAATGGGAATTAAATTTGAAAAAAAAAGAAAAAAAAAAGAAAGATAACGCAATAGAGTATTCATACTAGCAAAACGGCGATGGATTTAAAATCATCCTATACGCAAATTAGTTAATCATGCAAAGAAACTTACACTGTGTATGATTCATTTGCTCTTTGAAAGCTTAAAAGTCTCGTAGGGAAAACAGATTGCATTATCTGTTTACAAAAGCGTGGTCATTGGATATTCAAGGGATCATAGACCACTTTTCCCAACAAAATCTCCTCTGTCCAGCACGCATCTTTTTTTCCCATATACATATAGATATTTAGGAATTTTTGGGGTTGTAAGCTTTAGAACGTATCCTCTCGTCGCCTCAAAAATGTTCTTGCAGTTGAACTCAAATACCCAAGATTAACCAGAGATATTATGATTTTGCTACAGTGCAGTGTGTTTAAATCAGGATAAACTAATCTCATAATAATGGGAAACATCTCCATTGTCCAAGCACACTTGAATCGATGTCTGCCAGAAGGGCATAAGTCCAAAAACTCATGAGCCCTGGCTGTCGTTGGTTGCGAAGGCCACTGGGGATCCTCATTTTTTGTGCTTACGCCTTTTAGCATGCATCGATTCATTTCCCTTGAATATGCTGTTCAGTTAACCATGTATATTAATTGCCTATAAGATTTTGCGACCATAGAAGCTTAATTGATAGTCCGTCATTACATATGAAGTATTGGAGCCCCTAATTTTGTCAATACAGAAAAAAAAAAAAAAAAAAAAAAAAAAAAAAAAAAAAAAAAAAAAAACTTACCGAGTTAAGGACCTTCGAGATTCAATGATGAATTGGAAGCGACATATCATTGGCCATTCTAATTCGTGGCACGGTCTATCACAGTTGGCATGCGTATTATCTGTAGGACAATAATTTTAAATTAGTCATCACAGGATAAGAATATAACCGTATAAGAACAATATTTTACGCCTGAAACTACAAAATTATCCCTCCATTAAACAAATACAAGATGAAAAATTAACAGACTTTAAGCACCTGGTCATCTTTACAAAAGAGAGGGCAATTTCAGGATCTACAGCTTTCATTTCTCTTCCATGTGGCGGCTTTTGGAGCATTTTATAATCAGGGCCGGATTAAGGGGCTGTCACATGGGCCGCGGCCCATGGCGGCAAATTTAGGGGGCGGAAAATTTTACAATTTTTTTTAAATGTAGGTATAAAAAAAAAAATCGGATTCAGAAAAAAAATTATCAATGAGAAAAAGGGACAAAATCTCTCTTTCCTTAGAGTATAGTAATTTCTAATTTTATCGTTTTTCGGTGATAAAAGAGACAGCATCTTTAATTAGTCGAGTTAAGAGAGGAACTAAACACGCAATTTGGCCAGGAGCTCAGCGCAGAGAGGAATGATGACGAGGACTTGAGATGAAAAGGACAAGCCCTCGGCACTGCGATCTACATGTAACACATATTAGCGCCTACAAGACTGCACGAATACTTCACCTATTGCGTCAAACACAGTGCGCCGCGCCGCGCCGGTCAGGAGCAGTTGGCGTGAAACGCGTTGCGCCTACAAGACTGCAGGAATACTTCACGCATTGCGCCAAACACGGTGCGATCAGCCCGGCGCGGCGCAGCGGCGGAAGTTAAAATTATTAAATCACATTTATGTTTGGTCTTCAATTTTTTGGTTCATTTCTAATAAATAGAGGACTTTGTTCACACAAAGATATGTTTACGGAACTTAACTTTCGCGCAAAGTTCCGTGAAATTTTGCTAGTAGTGTTGACAGGGCTTTCTCAAAAAATATACTCAACACGAGTAGGTAAACGCGTCTTATGCACCCCTCCCCCTCTGGCGCGTTCACTTGATGGTTTTTATTGATGTTTCAAAACGAATGAGAAGGGGCGGCAAAAAAACAGGCGGCCCATGGGCGGCAAGTAGGTAAGTCCGGCCCTGTTTATAATACGGGCGTATCTCATTATGACGCAGTCGAAACAAATTAAAAAAATAGACATTGTTTCCGGAAGAGTATTATTTTGAGAAACCCTATAACGAAAAGCGACCGGCCAAGACTTGAAAAAAATAAACGTTGTTTTCGGAACACGGTTTTTGAGAAACATTATAGGGAGAGACGACTGTATCTTTATCGTAAAAACATCTTAAAATCACACTAAAAAGTGCCTCTGCCCCAGAAAGTCGTAATCATGGGCTCTGAGTTAAATTTTCAACTTGTTCAGCCAAATGTTGCGGTAACATTAAATTTCTAAATCAACATTCGTCCGATCCAACACTGTGATTATTGCAGATATTTTCCGCACCCAGAGCGGAGAGGAGCGATACTAGAAATTGCAACTTTTATCTCAATCAGTTGCGATGATGTCAGCGCATTGGATTAAGAGGATAGGCAATATGCACCCACAATTAAAAATCACGTTAGTATTGCAACTTCTTTGCAATTCGTTCCTATCGGTAGAGTAATTCGCCCAAAATGTACGGTAATTTGATTACGAGATTGCTACTTACAACAATGAGTGTTATTTGGGCGATGAATTCGGTCATGAACAGAGTTTTTCATACAGGATGATCCAAAAGTCCCGCGGATCCACCATAACCCGTATGGTTCTTGTCCCTTCTAAGGGCGATTCCTCTAAAATTATGGGCGGTCCCAAAACTCATTTTCTATGGAGCTCTCACAAAATGTCAAGTCTCTATCTCAATTTTTTCAAAAGTTACAGGGGTGACGCCTGGCGTTGGTAGTGTGGGACTTTTGAATCACCCTGTACACTTGGAGTAAAGTTTATACCTGGAAGAGGGGTCATAAACAGCATGATGGCCGCCAAGGAGGCCACACCAAGGACGACCGACATCCGAATGAGGACTACGAAACAAGTGTCAATATACGCCATGGCATCGAAATTCGTGATTTTTACAGGTCCATTAGTCAAGTCATGATTCCATTAGACAAACATTTAAAGCACCGCATTGCGATGTTGAAATTTCAGTTCCAGCGGCAAGTACCGCATCTAGAGGCTATCATAGCCTCCCTTAACTCTTATTCAAACTATGCTAATAAAAATTACCAGTTTATTTTATGTACTGATCTCGTGTGATATCAATTAAAACTTGTACGGACATCAGTAGAGAACAAGATAAAAATCCGTTGGATAGGCATATTTCGACACTGTTCTAAACTGGTCATTTTTAGCAGGGATTGATGACAAACACACCAATAGGAGCACTATGGGAAGAAAGAAAGAAAAAAAAATGTGACCGAACAGACGTTACGTTCGACTCAAAGCCCCGAATATGTCCCTTAATCACGAAAGTTCCGGAGCTGTTCTGTTATATTTCAGCCTTGAATTTGCAGTCTACATCGGCGATTTTTTTATATCGCCGTTTGACGGGAGATTTAGTAGTAGAGAATGTAACTATGTTGAAAAAGAGACGTAGCATAAGCTGCTATAGACGACCAAGGTAATGCTTGATAGAAAAAAACCGATCGGGAATCAAAGGAATCCTCCAGGAAAGCACCACATCATCACACAAGATGTTGATTATTGTCATAGTTCAGTGTGTATTGCACAAAACTCTATCTGAACAAAACCAAAACTAAAATTGAGATGATACACGGAGCTGAACTTAAACAGAGAGGCGAGGATAGGGTTTAGGTTGATAACAGCTTGATAATTAAAATCGTTGAATCAATTTTTTTTTAGTGCCGGGAGAAAAGAATCGTGAGATTTCGCGAGAGGAACTACAATGTGAAATTGCTGTACAATGCCACTTTTTCTATAACAGGTTTAAAACACACTTGCACTGTTATGACCTCCATGAATATTTGATGGGGACAAAATTTTGTGATCTCCACTTCGAATTAATGAGACCGGAAACTACACTGAACGAAATTTTCCGGGAGATAAACCACGGTAGAGAAATTTTCACAAAAACTGAAAATCACACAGAATTTTGTGATCTCCACTTGCATGGTGAGAAAATTAATGAAACCGGAAACTACACTGAACGAAATTTTCCGGGAGAAAAACCACGGTAGAGAAATTTTCACGAAATGACGAAAAATCACACAGAATCTGAGTTGTTAGGTACCGACTGGTCGGGGCCGGCAGCGCAGGTAGCGGTAGCCTGGCTGTAACGCATGCAGCCTCTGGCGAGACTGATATGATGCAACACTAAAGGACCAGGAACAAACGGTGGGCGGAAGCGCCCTGAGTCTGTGTCCATCTGCCAGATTTCTCGGAACCAACGATACGAAGAACCAAAAAATTAGGGATGATTCGCTGAAGACGGCAACGTCGGATCTGGATGAAAGTAAAAGTGTGGAGTGGTGGTCACCGATGAAAATTCGTCCATGCATTGATCATCGATTCGGATGCTTTCACCTTCGCCTATTCTGTCCGACGCATCGATTACGGTGAATAAACACGCAGAACTTATCCTATGAAGGAGCTTCGATTTGCGTTGTCGAGTCGCACGGAAAACCGTGGTAAAAAATATGGTATACTTTGAAGCGTAACGAATGCAGCATTGCGTTTCATCCCTGGTAGAGTACCTTTATAGACAGAGTATGGCCATTCGTATCTTTTTAAATCCGTTTGAACATTCGAGAGTTGCCAAATTTCCCTCGATAAAACATGTATTTTTGTCAAAATTCATGCATATTTTCCGCAGAAATTTTCAGATATTATAGATTAAATTGCGTACAAAATTGCCTGAAAATTTTGGAAAATAATATTCACAATTTTCCGAGTAAATTCGGTTTTTATCAGGGGAAACTCGGCAACGTCTGAAGGCTGATACGGCGTTCTTCCTTAGCACGGCAGTATAGGAGCCACACATTTCAAGTAATAGGATTGCTCCATACTCCCTACCCTGGTAAAAATTGGCAGTAGAATCTGTATTCCAAAATACCATACACCTACAGCCGGCTGTAAGATTTCCAATAGCTTCTATAGCCGGCAACACAATTTCTTATGGCCTTTTATAGCCGATGGGGACTAAGCAACAGCCTGGCGATAAAATGTGTGCTAAACGATACTAATTACGGATGCTAGGACTTAGTGAGTTTTTGGACTACCGCTCTCTTTTTGGGCCGTAGTATCTTAATTTATTTTGCGAGGAAAGCTCCGTACTTTTGAAGGATGCCTGCCATTCCTAATATGTTGGAGCGCCTGCAATTTCGTATGATACTGTGCAATACCTCGGGTGTGAAATAGTTGCTTCCAGCGCCGCGGTACGCTGCGGCGCGGCGCGGCGGGCGGGCAGCCAGCGCTGAACGCGCATTGGCGCCTTCAAACCTAACAGGGATACTTCACGCATTGCGCAATGCGTGAAGTATCCCTGTTAGGTTTGTAGGCGCCAGTGCGCCGCCGCTCCGCTTTGTGTTAGGCTCTAATATTTAATCTCGCGGAGTCAGCGTTTTTCAACTCATCACTTTGAAATGTTTGCACACTCTGTATGGATTATTCTAATTTTAATTGATGAAAAAAAATATGTAGTAAAGGAAAATATAATGTGCGTTTTGTAAACTTAAGGTGATTCCGTACAAACTTAAGGATTTACAAAGCACACGAATTTCTACACAATTTTTTATAGCCTTTTATAGCCGATGGCGAAAAAGCAACAGCCAGGCGATAAAGTGTAAAGCCCGGTGATAGGAACTGTAGCCCGGCTGTATAATTTTTTATCGCTTCGTGTAGCCCGGCCATATGATTTTTTCCACTTTCTACAGCCAGCTATATTACTTTCTATCGCCTTTCTTCATTCGGCTATAAGAACTCCTATGGTATTTTGAAACACGGCTCCTGTCGCCAATTTTTACCAGGGTACGTCTTCTTTGCCCATCGCTTTGTCTATCGATTTCAATAATCAGCTCGCAGATC